GCAGTGGCAAAGGCTCTGACTGAACTGGGTCGTAAATCTTATCTGATTGCAAGGCCAAACTAAAACGGGCGAGGGATGCAGGTGGCAATGCCATGAGGATCACAATCAGAATTTTCACCTTGCTTGCTCATCTTCTTCTTAGCGTCGTGTCTGGAATTATTCAAAATGGGCGCTGCAAATGGTTTGCTCAAACCTGCAAGCATTGGAGGCCTCTTGCCCAGGGGGGCTTGTCTTCCACTGGAGCAGCTGCCCAGTGCGATCCATGCAGGAATTGCTCCTCTCTCACCTCATTCCCCCGCCCCGTTTGCTCCGGCTTAATGCTGGTGCTTCCAGAAGAGGAGGTGCCAGTTGCCTTCCCACAGGCAATGCCGCCTTCACCTTACTCGAGAAAATGGCCTCGGAGTGGAAAGGGAAACCATCCCCAGCGCCTACCTCTCTGTCTCTCTGAGCCGGTCCTTGCATTGCATGCAGGATGAGCGCAGGCCATGTGGGGGAAGAGGAGAGGAGGTTTTTGTCACACTTCCCCATCAGAGTGCGTCACTGTGCCAACTGGGCAGTGCTGCCACTGCCATGAGCTGTTCCACAGTAATAATCGGCCTCATCCTCTGCCTGGACTCCAGAGATGGTCAAAATGCCACTGTTGGTGGAGGTGTCCTTGGAGCCAGAGAAGCGAGCGGGGACCCCCGAGCCTTGCTCCTTGATGCTATCTGAATAATAGCTCAGGAGGTATCGTGGGGGGCTGCCAGGCTTCTGCTGGAACCACTGCACAAATTGGCCACTGACGCTGACTCCGCTGCTGAAGGCGCAGGAGAGCCTCACGGTGTTTCCCAGGGATACGGAGGTGGACGGAGGCTGAGTGAGCACCAGCTGGGAGTGGGAACCTGGGAGAAGAGAAGGGGAGAGGGCATCACATCAGCATCAGCCTCCAGACTCATCTGAAAGGCGGGAAGGCTGGAGGATATGGAGCCTGCCCCACCTGTGCCCCAAATCACTAGGAGGCTGAGAACTGTAGCCCAGAACATGGCAGAGAGATCGGAATCCCCAGCAACACGAGAAGAAAGCCCCAAGCACTGCCGGTCCCTGCAGGCATTTCCATTTATATTGGTCCTCCGGGCTGATGGGCAGGGCATATTCGTTGAGCGTGCATGCAAATCAGCTCCCATCTCATTGGTCCTGCTGCTCACAGGGCCATGTCTCAGCGAGTGGGGCTTTAATCCTTTGATTTTGCAATGGGTGTCTCCATCCTCCTGGTTTCTTGAAGTAATACAGGCTTCCATCCCAGCTGAAGTCCCTTGCAGAAGTCTTCATCTGTGTTGACGAATAGGTGCTCACCTGAATCTGGAAACACTTCTCTAGACCTGCAGCACAGGAGAAATGAATTTTCATACATTCATTGCTTTATTTCACTAATTGTTTTGTATTCAAGATGCCTGCGAGCATAATGCACTCTCTGGAAATTGCTCTCTTTTGATCATCTGGAAAATGGCTTCCATTAGATTTCCCAGGTTTGTTGCCCTTTACACTTAATATTTGCCCACGCTTGCTTTCCTTAAAGGCTGTTCTTCCCCTCTTCCTGTACTGTAGCATGTGAATAATTCCCTCCCTTCTGAATAGAACAATTCCTGATCAACTCACTGAGGTCAGTCATGGGGCATACTAGCAGCAGGCCCATAAAAGGCTTCTCAGAGAATGCTCACTGCGCACCACTCTGCAGCCCCACTGAACGAATGGGAATGGGCTGCAAACGAAGCCGCACTGGTTCACAACAGTAGCTTACGCCACTGGGTAGCCAACTCCTGGTTCCAAAATCTCCCCATTTCCCTGTGAAACCCTGTATGAGAAGGCGTCAAACCCAGTTAAGTTCCTTGCAGAAGGCTTCCTCCGACTCAGTGAACACGTGGCCACCCAATTACGCAAACACTTCTTCCGCCTGGGTGCAGAATACAAAGCAAACCCTACATCCTCCCGGGCAAAATTGCTTCCATTAGATTTCCTGGGTGTGTTGCCATTTGTACTTAATCTTTGCCCGCTTTGGCTTCCCTTTCATATTTTTCTTCTCTCCCGACAATGCAGCATTTCAGCACTTCCCGCCCTTCCAGATGGATCGGTGCTGTTGTTGCTTTCTAGGCCACGGCTGCCCTCTGCTGGTGCAGTTCAGGTCCTGCAGGGTCGTCCATCCTTCCGGAAGCACAGAGGGCAGTTCGAAGATGCGGAGCCCCCTTTCCGCAGCAGTTCGAGCACGAAAAGCAACTCCGAATGTGAAGAGTTAGTGCAGTTCTCCATTCCTGGCAGGGGCGGACCACGTGAGCTTCCAGCTCCCACGGGAACACAGATGCTCTCTCGCACAGCTTCGCAGCTCACGTGTGGGGACGCAAGCTTCCTATTGTGCAGGAGCAGAAAGCGCTCCAGGTCTTGAGCGCCCCTGGTTTGCAGAGCTGCGCTGCCTGCAAGGGGTCCTTTGCATAGTCAGCCATGGGCACAGTTCAGATTAAAGTTCGGCTGGAGGGCGTATGCCGCACTGCTCTTTGCCTGGATGATTTCCTTTGACCAATTAAGGAACAAACATCTGCTAAGCACCCTGTTCTTGCATGATGCCTTCACCTGTGCGATGTCTCCTTTGAGTGTTTTATCCCCATGATGCACTGGACCATCCTGAGCCCCTTTGCTGAAGAAACAGGAGGAGTGAAGGAGGTTGGAAATGTGGCCCTGCCTGTCCCCTCTAAGAATGTCCTTCAACTGCAGCTGAACGGATTGAGCTCCATCTTCTCTTTTCTTCTCAATGTTGGAACTGTAGGAATTTTGTAGTCAGTGGGCGAAGACGCGCTCATCCTCCGCCTCCTGCACTGTCCCCACAGAAGAGGGTGATCTACTGAAAGCTGGTGCTCCTCGGGAGAAAGCAACTGGAGGAAGCATCTTGGAGAGAGCTGGTGGGGCAGAAGCAGATGCTCCTCCCGTGCAGATGAGGCTTCACCATGGTCCAGGCTGCCCCCGCTGCCCAAGATGCCCACTGGAACTCCCTGCCCAAGTACACAAATCAGAGTTTCTAAAGCAGGGCTGACTGCCTCCTGCAGTAAACATACGACGGGCAGTAATAGGAGTGGAGAAGCCAATGGAGACAACCCTTTTCCAGCAGCATAAGGCCAACAGCATGAGCTTGCAGATCCCAGTGTGGGGAGAGAATTTCCTTTTCTTCACAGTGGTTACTAACATCCGCGGGGTGTGAAGACTTTCTTGATGCTTTAGTGGCTCTGCTGCAGCAGAAGACCTCACGGCAGAGTGGGACAGCGTCAAGTCCTGCTGAGAAAGGGAGAGGAGGATTTGGTCGCACTTCCCCATCAGAGCACACCACTGGGCCAGCTGCCAGGTGCTGCCACTGCCGTGATATGTTGCGCAGGAATAATCGGCCTCGTCCTCAGGCTGGACTCCAGAGATGGTCAAAATGCGACGGTTGGTGGAGGTGGCCTTGGAGCCAGAGAAGCGAGCGGGGACCCCCGAGCCTTGGCCCTTGTTGGAGTCTGAGTAATACCACAAGAGGAATCGTGGGGGGCTGCCAGCCTTCTGCTGGTACCAGTTCTCATAGAACGGCATGAGCTTCTTGTTTCCTTTCC